GAGTGTTTAGTTGGAACCACTATATTTTAAAAATAAGAGTAAGTTTCTGCCAATACATTCAGGCTAAACAGTTTTAATCACTTATAAATATGCGAAAAACATATATAGTTTTATTTTCTGTGAACCCATGATCACTAAAAGGAGTTTTTGTCAACTCTATCTGACTCCAAAAGAAATCAAATGTCACTAGCTGTGCGATTCCACAAATTAGTAACAATAATATGGTGCCGACTAGTTGGTCAGTTATCTGGATTTTCTAGTTTTTCAGTTGTGCTCGTTATAAGACCATTCTTTCAGTTCACCAAATCGTACAGTTTTTTTAACCATTATTTACCATGTTATTTCTCAAGACCTTATTTTGTCGTTGAGGATTAATGATTGGTACACGGTCAAGCGTTATTTTCTATTTGTTTTCATCTGTAACGTGCTTGTACAACTGACAGTCCGTCAAATTTCACATTCTCAGTTAATTTCCAGTGCTCATGTTTCCCTGGGGATAATTTATTGGGAAACCTACTAACTTAATTTATGACAACATTATGTTTCAGCGTGAGAAATGAAGATTGGGGGTTAGGGGTATGTTCATAAATCTGACGGGTGCTAACGCAAATCTCATTGATTCGTTCATGAATTATGGGACCAATATTTCCTCATTTGAATTTATCTGGCAGTGACGAGTCGGGTATCGTAAGGGTTGGACACTTGTTTTTTTCAGTTTATAATCACTGGGTTACTTGATTGTGGCGGTAAATAAATCCTCAAAGTAATTAGTCTTGCAAGTCCTCAACATTGATGCCGACCTCATTCGTTTTGCTGAACACACTTCAACTGAAGGCTCTCGGTCACACATCCTCACCAGGAGTGGGTGCATATGATAACTAGAAGTATGCGGAATTCTATATTATCTAGGAATTCCCGGAGTAGTGCGATTTACATCAAGTAAAATTAGATGGGCACAAACAAGCGCATTGTATTTGGAATCCCAAGTCGGTGTTTGTTCAAGTACAAAAGAAACATAAGTTCGTACAAATACCGCATGCAATGCAGCTTAAATGAGAATTCAAATCTGTTTAATCCATTTTACTTCCACTAAGGTTCATCGTTTGCCTGTCCGACTTTGTACTGGATGTAGACCTTGTATGATAACTGATTAATGTAGTAGAATTCTTGATGTCCTTGCAAATCATTTTATGAATTTTCGCTTTTTCATGGTATACGAAATTAGTACAGTTTACACTATTTAGTAGTAGTTCTTGGAGCTTTGTGTAGGAAAGTGAAATAGGCTTATCTATCCATGTCAAAGTATTCAATGAGCTGTGGACATTGTTTTTCGATAAAAGTAAGGAAATAAGCCACAATTTTATCAGCCTTACCATCACCCCAGGTTATAATTCAGCTTTCAAAACTTCCCATGTAATCTTCGAAAGCTTCAGAATTTGAATGTATATCCAGGTATTCGATCACAGGCTCCATCGCGATGCCAATATGATGATTACATATTTATATATTATATACGGAATTCGAAATCGGTGAGAATCACGTGCAAATGAATCACTAGTTCGTACAAATACCACAGCACATCGTGCTACACACCCCTTGCAACTACTAACTAGCTTAGACCAAACATATCGATAGCCTTCCAAATATACTTTCAAACTTATCTACGCCTAACTTCTGCTCTGAGTGGTGTTTTAAAAGCATGAAATTTTGTGCTATCTTCTAGATCAATGTGTTTATAAATTCCCTTTAGACCGACCTGTTAACTGCTGCTGTACGGTTCTCTATTCCTCATCAGTTCTCAGTCTATCATTCACAGTCTTTCAGGCTTACAGCCAATTTTTGCCTGGTTCATGTTCAACTGGTCCTTTACACTTTTTGATGTTAGTCGGATATCCCTGTACATAAACTATATTTTCATGAAATACTATATTTGCTTAGGCTGACTACAGATTCTGGACTCAAAGGCAGTACAGAAAGTGAAGCTACGGAGTAGTCGTATGCCAGTAGGTATTAAGAGTTTGAATCAAGGTTACTAGTGCATGTAATTAGTCAATTCAGAGATATGGAGTCTTAGAAATCGGGTATCTGATTGATGGATTTGCCGTGTTTTCAGTAGTCAGAGATCACACTAAGTACCCTTTACCGCATCCGTTCGCGTTCATTTAAGGATTCAAAGTCAAGGAGGTAAATACACTTATGTCAAAATCAGTAAAACAAGTATGTTAAAGTTCAGTTATGTGGAGCAAATTTCAGAATAATGGTTTGTTTAGTTTGGGTGCTACAAGCTTACTCTATTCAACTAACAGCAGATTTGTCAACTAAAGTTGCATAAAAATAGGAAAGCCAAACGCAGAATTTAATTGGAGGTGCCTAAACCGGAAACAAATTTTTCAAAATGAAATCTACGAGGAATGGCTGTGTTGTGACAACACGGTTAACATTACTAATGAGAATGTCCTTCCCGATGACTTAAAAATGTATCGTCTTATCTTTTGGCCTAATCAGTATCTTCACGATAATGGGATAAAACACTATGTCGAACGGTAAAAAAATTTATTAAGCAGTGATCCAGTTGAACTCAATATATTCAGATTCAAATTTATGTGGAAAGAGAGAAGGCTTAAGGCCTTTTTTGTTTTCTAGTACGCTTCTGTGAGTGTCCAGTCTTCTCTTGAAAGAGTCACTTGTACGTGCGGCACCACTGCATCGAGCACCAGGTTCGAAATATTGGTGACTCGGCGTGAAAACCTGTATGCCACGGGTAGTTTGTCCGCTCTTGGCCTTTCTACTTGCCTGCTTTGTCATCTGAGGTGTCCTGATCTAGTGAGAAGAAAAAGAGAGAATAAGTTAGGTTCGAAATCATTTCTCAGTATTCTGTAGATCAAAATTAGATCTCCCCTTAGTCTGCGATAGAACAGAGCAAAGAGATCCAGCTTTTCAAGCCTCTCGTTATATGGAAAACTCCGGAGTTTTGGAATTGCACGGGTAACTGTCTTTTGTACTTTTTCTAGGATTTCCGAGCCACCTTTTAACAGGGGCTTGCAGCCTGAACTCAGTTCTCAAGCTTAGTTCTCACTAAGGTTGTGTATACTGTGGTGAACATGGTAGAGTCTAACTTAGTGAATGTCCGTTTTGTGTCCAGAACAGGGTTGGATGGCGAATGCTGGTGAGCGGCCTATGTTCCTTCATGAAGAGTAACAGGTGTAAGTCAGTAAGTAAATAAGTAAGTATGAATGTCCGTTTTAAAGCCCAGAGGGTTCTAAACCCCTTGGCTGCAACTTCCCGACAATGGACCGTCGTCTTGAGGTCGTGACTCGCTGTCACCCCTAGATCCTTATGAGACCGGACCACGGATAATGGAACTTCCCCTATGTTGTACCTATTGACTTTTGGACCCCCAAATTGCATGTAGACAAACTTTGCCGCGTTTAAATGCACCAGCTACTCTTTAGACCAGTGAATCATATTATTTGAGTCTGCCTAAAGAGCCGTGCATCTGTGTCTCCACTTATTACTCGCCAGATCTTTACATCGTCAGAGTATAATAACATTGGAGACTGTACTATACTTGGAAGATCATTAACATACATTATAAAAAGTATAGGACCTGGGACGGAACCCTGAGGTAATCCGATAAGTACTGGTCTCTAGATGGAGCACTCAGAATTTGTTCTTACTTTCTGTCTACGATCTACCAGGAAGTCCTTTAGCCATTTTAAATGAGGTCCGGCAATACCAAGGTTTTATAACTTCAACAGCAGTCTATTAGTTGGCAGATTTTCAAATGCCTTACTGAAGTCTATGTAGACAACCTACATTGAGTTTCCGTTGTTCAGAGCCTTAACCCAAAATTTCACTGCTACGAAGAGGTTCGCTGTACAAGACAAACCCTTTCTGAAACCATGTAGTTCTCTGTTTAACAAGTTGTTTGTTTCCATGAATGCCACTATGGTCCAATATTTTAACTACAACACTGGTGAGGCTTACAGGTCTGTAGTTCAATGGAAGTTGTATTGATCCTGTTTTATGTATGGAAGTGATGATTGCGTCTTTCCAGTCCATAGGTAAAACACCTTGGCCAGGTGACATATAGAATATCACAGTCAGTGGAGCCGCGATATATTGCGCAATATGTCTCAAGATTTTTGGATGTAATTTATCCGGCCCCGTTGACTGTTCCATGTCTAGGGTGCCTTAAGCACATCGTCTTGATCGAAGTCCACGGTGAGCAGGCGGTTTGTTGACTCTGTATTTTGGCCTGGTTCTTTCTCTTACAGAACTTCCATAAATTCCGATGACTTCAAAATCACAATAACTAATTCAAACTCAATTAATTTGAGTGAAATGCTGTTTCCTAAAGGAAACAATGAATTATTTAATTCTATCGAACAATGAGAAAACCTTGTGAGAGGATTCTTGTTTAACTGTGCTACAAAACATTTATTGTCATAGAGTTTTATATCGTAGATTGAAAATGAATTTATCATCTATCTAGAATTTAGCTATACTTACTTTTAGTTTCAAATGTCAGTTTGCTTTAAATCTCCATATTGTAATTTTGCTGTTTCCGGTTAATTTTCTCTGTAACTTGAGGTCTATCCGATGTGCTCACTGAATAATCGGTATATTTCTTGATTCTTCCTCTTATACAGGATTTCTTATAGACACCACTCCCCTCGCTTTCTAAGCTTAGTTTGTACGTCAGATTCCACATATTAGTATTCAACTGGTCGTTTATCCTCAAATCAATACTAGTCAGCTGATCAATTTAATTATTACAATTTACTCACTGACATGGCAGAACTTAGTTATTGTATGATGAGGTCAGCAAATCAGGCAAGAGAATCTGTAAGGTATATTTTTATTGTTGATGAAAACAAAGGAAGAACAACGGTCCACAGCTAGAAAGAAAAATTTGTTGATATTAGTAATGCATTATTTAAGTGAAGAAGGGTAAATTTCTAGTTTAATTATATTTTCAAAGGTATGTTGAATCAGCGATGTCTCTCTCCAAGGAAACAAATTTAGATTTTAAAAAGTATGAAGTGTGCGATAATGTGGATTTAGAAACAGTTTTGTTAGAATATGAAAGTTATTACTACATAAAATTCCAGAAATATCCTAGAATTACCAAAAAATTATCTGGTTTCTTACATTTTTTATATAATCGATGTCATTTCAGACAAGCTCTTCCAGTGTGAAAAAAAGCGACACGGAGGAAGTTCAATAAAAACAAAGTAAGTTTTTATTTTGTCCTGTATAAGTTTATGTAGACGATCCTCACTTCCTCGACTTTTAAACCGAGGAAATTCTATCCATGACTTTGAACAGAATCATTCATCAAACATTTTGAATTCTGAAGAAAATTCTAGTGTAACCAAGGTAAGGGAGTAAATAGCTTATTATCTTTTGGCTTTTAATACTTTTATTCACGTAATCTTTTATATGAAAACCATTTTAAAAAATCTCCCTGTCCTAACGTTTTTTATTACACTTCCTTGAGGCATAAATATGAGCTCTTTCCGTAACAGATTCAAACATCACGTCATTGTTTTCACATTTACATACTTGCACTAGTATGTTTAATATTCGTTGTCGTGGAAAATTCGGCTACATTGAAATGTTCGTGTTGATGAATACTTAAGAACTGTTGTTCAAAAATCAGTCAATCTATCCTGCTGATGACACTTCAGTTTCAGATATTATTCTGTTTCATATTTTCGTGAAATATATCAAGCTTGGCTATTCCAAGGCATCCTAATTCAATGGACTGTGCTATTTTTTATCCTGTAAGTATTGTAATTTCTAGCAATCTAGTCAGTTAGATTCAAACAACGATAAATTGGTGTTAGGTATGACGTAAAATAAAACGCTTGTTGAAAGATTTGTAGATAACTAATGCAGGTGAGCTCTGTCGAGTGATCGGAGGCCTACTCTGGTTAGACGGCAATGGTGTGACCAACCGCGTAATGTCAAACCTCTCTGTTAATACACAACACCGGTTGTCCTTTTGTCGTATCCAGGTACTATGTCTACTTTGATGACCGTACATCATAGAGACGTTATTACTGAAATATATTAGTAAAAGCGGATACAAGGTACAGAGTGTGACCACTGCTGTCCAAGACAGTCCATGACGTGCAATTAACTGATGCTAATTGGTCGTCGTTAACCTTGACAAGGGCCGGTGAACTGTTCGACATTCAGTGATTCGACTTCTAGATGGTTTGACTAGGGTTCAGTGACATTTAGCTAGATTTACAGATGCTTTTAAACCAAAAATTGCGCTCCGACAACATAAGTTTCAGTAGTTTACTATTTCATACAATATATAGTGAAATTTAAGTCAAAAAATGTCTGAATACTGTAAATATTTCCTGAAAGTATAAATCATATTATAAGTATGTATTTTACGTGTTCATTTTATTTTACGTCTTGAAAGTTAGATATTAATTTCTTCACATAAAATTGTATCTATATAGAATAGAGCTTGTAATGGACTAGCTGTACAAGGAAGACAAGACCCCCTCGTACAAACTTCAGGGCGCATAATAAAGAGTGGCATTTCACCAAATGTTCCAAACGGTTCTTCAGTTACATCTTTGAACCATCTGGACCCAACTCAGAACTCCTTTTTATCTTCTTCAACAAGACAGAATTTTCCGCGTCAAATTACTGACTACAGAGCGATTATTAACCAAGAAACCCGTTTGCCGTTAGAGGAAAACCAACTTTCAGAAGATCCCCAAGTATGTATTCAGACTATAAGTAAATACATAATAGTGACATTTAGAGGAGATGTATCACGTTTTGTCAATTGATAGATGTAATCTAAGCTCTAACCATTTTTGAAGTTAAATAGTTGAGCCTTATCAAACTACGTCATCTTGTTTGAAGCTCATGTTTGACTGAAAACGTCCACTGGACACAGTTCTTGTTTTAAAATGATGCGTAAATTTTTTAAACTTTCAAGACGTATAATGTATTCATGCAGTTGAAAATATTACTATCAAAATGTATGAACTGCTTCGGAGTTTTTAAAACAGAAAATCATTATCTACTAAGGTATTTCATCAAAAAAATCGGACGCTCAAATGTTTAACGCTTGTTGTTTTTTACACATTTTTAGATGATAAGATTTCCATCAAGTGATGCCAAATAAAATCGTTTGAAAAGAAGTTGATTTAACATAAAATTCTTATAAAGTAACCATTGATTGTTATGTTTGGTTAGAAAGTGACGGAATGTAGTTTATTTTGCGCAATCTCTTAACAGCTAACGGCACCCCTATTTATTAGACAGGCATTATCTTTGTCGTTTGATCTCATAAGCTAATTTTTGTATATCAGCCAGAAGCGTATCATCTAAATTCAGTGACTAATTGTTTGTTAATGTGATCACTCCACTATTTATAAATGTTATAAAAATTAACGAGAACAAGAAGCAATTTTAGTCCTTGCGTTGTAGAGTGCACTTAAGTCAGCTTTACTCGTTAAGATAGAATTCTTACTGAAAAACTGAATTAAAGGGACTCGCAAGTATCTTTGATACTGAGTGATTTTTAATGAGAAGTAAACTGCAATTTTTATTATTCAGTCATGGATAATAATGATAGTTTTTAATTTACATCAAATATTAAGGCAATTTTAAGCAAAATGTGTCATACGAAGCCATATCAATTGTATAAAAATGTTTAATGGACTCAATCAAACATCACTGGATAACACTGTTACTGCCTCGTGAAAACTAAATGAAAAAGCAAACTGTTTCGTTCATTTTACAATGCTTATCAAAAATAAATACAATATTTCATATTCCACACCCAACTATGATTTTAAATATTTTGATACACCTTCAAAACGTAGAAAAGCCTTTGTGATTTTTTAGTTCATATACGTCGGATCTTCCCATTTATGTTTAAGACTGCAATCGTTCAACCTCGCTTAAAATATATGCATCTTGCGCAGATTGGCTTGATAATGCCAGTAAGCCACCAGTATTTCGAGCAGGTGTGGGTTGTGGCTAGCAACGAAGTTCAGGAGGCACGTTTCATTCTACTTGGGACCCGCCAACTGTGTGTGACCGCATCCCAAAATTGATTTTCACCTCGAGACTCAATCTCATAACATTTTTCTTTAATCACCGTCGCATTATCAACCTAGCTACTGAATACAGATAGTTATTGGCTCAAGGAATGGGGTGAATTTTAATTTTTAAAATCATTCCACTGCAAGCCATCATTCATTGATAATACTATTATTATCCATAAATGAAAACCTTTGGAAATAACAGTGAACATAATATCCGTGGATAAGTCAGTGACTACATTAACTCGTTAACTTAGTGAATAACACTTCCACGTATAAAACAAAAGATGCCGATCATCTTGGTTATACCGTGAACATCAACACTAAATTGCAGATGGATTAGCTGTTGAGTTCCACAGAGGATAAGACACAGGTTTTAAAATTAACTGCTACCCATTATTACACGGATAGAGTATAATCTAGTCAGATTAAGCACCATTTTTACAAGACAAATAATTTAACATTTTCCTAAATCAAAAAATTAATAACCTCGCGAATCCTCTGTCTCTGAAAAATTATTTCGCAGGAACGTTTATTGAAGCCGCTAGGTAGTTATTTAGGCTACACAGGTGAATGGAGAAGTTTGGCTCTAACAATATCACGTGTAAGTCCCATTTACTGTCATATAGTTTTCCTAATTATATCTTATGTTTAGACTCCAAAAATTAAAAAAACTTCTATTAATCGATACTTTATTCTAATTCCTACGATTTTATGGGCAACAAATAATGTTTCTTGGATTTAAGAGTCATTGTGATGTTTTGAAATAGACGATCTTGATAAGTCATTATGATAAGCTGAATTTCTTTGAGAATATTGTTCAGAAGGGGTTTTCGTGGATATTTTAGTAATTTCAGTGGTTGAGATCATAAGTCAATGGAAGCTAAACCACTATTGACACATGATCTCAACTACTGAAATTACTATAGTATCCACAAAAGCCCATTCTGATACTAATCAGCATATGCTCACTAGTGACTAGCCTCAAGAGGTATTTTCTGGAGTTCCTTCGAGAAGTAGTGATCAGTAGAGTCCAACCGGGTCTTTTGTGAGATAATGACTCACTGAAGACAATAGTGGATGTGTCGCTCAGTTTCGTTGATTAGCTGAAGTCTTCATGTAGTCGTTGGTAGGCTCATAGCAGTGGATGATGTTCATTGAAATGCCCTTTTTCTTTGTTTTGAAAAAGGCTTTGATGATCCCTGGTCCATGAGATTCTCATCCTGTAAGTGCATTTTGTGCTTGTTTGGACAGCATCAATGCAACTCCTTGTGTATGTGGGGCATTTTCTTCTTCATGGCCGGAGTACAACAGGAACTCTCCTGAAGTTAGTCGTTGTTGTGCAACTTGCGTTCAATGTGTTTCACTGATCCCAAGCACCTCTAGGTTGTATCTTCTCATTTCTGCAGCAATTTGGAAGGCTCTCCCGGTGTCCCACACTGTACGAACATTCCATGGATCTAAATAAATGGTTGCTCTGGTTGTCAGAAGGGGAATCGGTCTCGTAACTTCCAAAGGAATTCGGCTTTCATCATGAGGCGTCATAGTTCTTCTAAATGAAGACCTTCTGACTCCCGGGGCAGAGTTTAAAAGGTTTGAATAATTTTTTCTGGTTGGCGTTTTTTCAGCGAGTTAGTTTTCTACGGTGTGGGGATGCTAATCCCATGCCCAACCCTCCTCCTTTATCCGGGCTTCAGGCCGTCAGTAGCTCCCGGAAGGACATCAGGCGGAGTTGATTACTAATGTGGATCGTTTGAAATGATTTCAGTTAAGGTTTCACAATTTAGATTATTGTCTATCCAAAATCGCGATTACACATGTAGTTTTGACACATATCGTCGTTATATTTAAATGAATATAGAGTACTAACTATTGAAGGGAGTAACTGTGATGAAAGTGTATCGTCAACTGCAGGCCACCTTCCATGAATAGTTTAAAGGCCAGAAGTATACGGTTACATGGTACAAATCTTATGGTTTGAAGACAGTTACATCCATGAGTTGTCTTCCTTCAACTTCTCAGCATCTTATTGCAATGTCCATATCTTTTCATTCTTTACTGTTATTTGCCATGTTTCATAATATCTATTTGTCAACTGAAGTGATTTATCTATTTAAAACAGTGTTATATTGAGAATCCTCGGGGTTTTTATCGCAGTGTATTTTAAATAAAATTTTAGGATATATTCCTTCAAAATCCAAATGTTCGATGGGATGATATAATCGGTCTAAGCTCTGCTAAACGTCTTGTAAAAGAAGCAGTTGTTTACCCAATAAAGGTAAGCTCATTTGAATTAATCATCAAGTCTTTTATACTATTCTGGCTTATTGATAAAAGAGTGCCAGCTTCAACTAGAAAATTCAAACCCAGCTTCATCTACCTTATTTTGGGCAGTCGTATAACAGTTTTACTTTAGGTAAATTACTTTTTTAAGCATGTTCCCTCTCGTGGAGCATCGGCTGCCCACCAAGATTCTCCATTTAGCTTTGTCCTGGTCTTTTTCCAACTGTCATTCATTCCATAGATATCTGCCTCCAAATCGCGACGCACTGTGTTTTTCAGTATTCCTCTTTTTCTTTTATTCAGAATTTTAAGATAGCGCTTGCTTTGTGATGTAGTCTGGTGGTTTCCGTAATGTATGTCCTATTCACTTTCAACATTTTTTCCTAATTTCCTCCCCAGCTGAAAGCTGACTTGTTCACTCCTACAGCAGGCTGTTGCTGATGGTATCCGCTTAACAAACACTGAATATCTTGCCTAGACAACTGTGTAGAAATACTTGTACATTTTGATGATGGCTGTAGTAGTCCTCCAAGTTGCAGCTCCGTACAGTAGAACAGTTTTGACGATCGTCCTGAGAACTGTGACTCTGATGTAATCTGACAGTTTTTAGTTCCATATGTTCATCGATTGTAGAAATGCTGCCCTTGCTTCGCCAATCCTCGCCTTTACGTCTGCATCAGATCCTCCTTGCTCATTGATGATGTTAACCAGGTATGTGCAAGATCCCACCTCTTCCAGAGCTTCTTCATCAAGTGTGACTGGTTTGGTGTTCTCTGTATCGTATTTGAGGGTGTTGCTTTTTCCCTTGTGTATGTTGAGGCCAAATGATGCAGAAGCTTCTGCTACAATGACTGTTTTGACCTGCATTTGTTCGTGTGTATGGGATAGAAGGACCGGGTCATCTGCAAAGTTCAAATCGTCTATTTGCGATTTGGTCTGTGCATGACTGATCCTTACGGAATCCGACCTGTTAATCTCGAAGCTGAGGTCTACTGATTTCTTCATCCGGCCCAGTAACATCTGCTCAGAACTCCTTTCTTTGGTATCTGGATGAAATGTCCTCCTTTCCAGTCTGTCGGTACTTGTTCTTCCTGAATAGAACGTGGAACATGTTTTCAGCCGCTTCTTTGTCTGACTTCGGTGCTTCAGCTAGTATGTTTTCAGGTTCTTCCGATTTCTCACTCTTGATTTGTCTGATAACCACGCTAATTTCTTCGATCTTCGGTGAAGTGATAGCTTAGGGAATTTCTGATGGGTTCAGAGGGTCTGGTCTATTCAAAAGTTCGTCGAAGTGCTCCACTCACCTGTTCCTCTGTTCTGGAAACTAGGTGAGTGGCTTGCCTTCTTTGCCCTTGACTGGTCTCTCTAGTTTACTTTATTTCGTACAAGTTTCTTCGTTGTGTCACATAGTTGTCTCAGATTTCCTCTATCACTACTAGTTATCCTACGTAATTCAATTTGTCGTCCCCAATACTTCTCTTCACTCGCTTGTTTGCTTTTGTGTATTTCGTTTGCGCCTTAACATTCCCCACTCTTGTTCGACTGTTGTTAATTGTTGTTTTATTGTCCTTCATTTTTTGAGTCTTGCCCAGGCTTTCGACAGAGATGCATTTCCCATGATTATGCTTCTTGCACCTCACTCATCCTGAAACTTTAAAGTTTGTACATCTTTAATGTCTTTCCAGTTGTTTTCCATAGCAGTTTCCTCTTCTTTGAGTGAATCATATAAGGCTTGGAATCTATTGTTGAGAGTTATCTTGAATTTACTTACTATTGGCCTATTATTTGTGCAAGTCGGTACTGACTTGTCATTGAAATTCAGAATTGATTAGTCACCGTTAGCGTATGGGCTTCTTAAAGGCGTGAGTTAATATCGTTTGCAAACACAAGTTCGTTGTGTCCTGAGCATCAATGAACAGTTTAACATAGGACTGGTAATTCATCCTGATTTTCAACTTCACCACTAAATATACTTACATTTCAGTTTTGACGCTAACAGTTTTTTAATGTTGACTGTCATCAATTAACATTGCATGTTTATTTTAATATTACAGTACCCTCAATTGTTTGCAGGAATATTATCACCCTGGAAGGGATTGCTACTATATGGACCTCCAGGTAATTTACATAAAGTTTGCATAACTTCAGTAACTACTAGAAATAAAAATCACATCAGAATTTATTCTTTATATCTATCACACAATAAAATTCAATAATAGCTGGATCTACATTTATTAGATATTCATACCCTAGAATTTTAGCCTTTAAAACGAAATGAAGTGCGACCAGTTGTCCGACTACCTACAACTATCTATTATTGAAATATAGTCCAGAAGATGTTGAGTCACTTAGACTAGTATATATATTGTAATCAGATCAACAGAACTTGATTAGCCCTAAGAAATGAACAAATAGAATACTGTTCACTGATTAGTTGCTACTCAGTTTAAATATCTTTTGGTATCAATTACGTAACGTCTCAGAGTGTTCAGCGGGGTGACATCAATTTAAATCAAACTGGAAACAACAGTTCCCCCAAGACTTCAGTACTTGTTGGTGAGCTACATGTATACATGAAATGTTGTAACTTACATATCTCATGATGATAAAGAGAAAATTTATCAGTGAAATTGTTAAAATGTGAATAAAGTTTATAGTCAATCCGTTTACAAAAATTGGTTATCAGCAAGTCACACTCAGTTAGTTGTATGAACATACATTACGATGCAATATACTCAAGGATTGTTTGTATATAACATATTGACGGAATCTCGTCTGCTCAGTATAATATAACTAAGAGGGTTTTAAAGAAATCGGTTAAATCCATCAATTAAACTTATTTTGCTTAATTTCTTTCAATGTTATCTACGTCGTTCATTGTATTAACAGAGAGGCTATATCTTATTATTAAAAATGATCTTGGTGGTCTAATAATAGAATTCCGACACCAGAAAATGGGTTTTAAGCGTTATTTAAGCCCTAACGCTTCAGCCTGGGCTATTTCGCTTATTACCCTACATATGTGTTGTATGCAGCATAAGCTATATGGCTATGTAGACCTGAAGGTCTCATATGAGGCCAGAGGTTCACCATTGGTATTGTGGATGGTTCAGCATTGCTTTGGCAAGATTTACTGACTGTTTATGCACAAAATTGGCTTGCTGTTTAACGGATTTCATTCATACTGCTGGTTGCTTTTCAGTGTTCTCAAAGGCAATTGTCATTGGGACATTGTAAGGTATGTCGCCATTGCTAACATCAATGAGTTTGACTGTCGCGTAAGCGGAATAGATCAACTTTGGTCTGTTCGTACTGTGCATAATTGATTCACGCGATCATTGATCGGAACAACTATACATGTGATGTAAATGTGTATATGAATGGTGCGAATGGTCCACCAGGGTGCTTGTGCTACAGGATTGAGCTGTACTATTCAGATTGTAGAGTTAAAGCCTATACGGTGTCTGGTTCTCCTGTGGCGCGGAATTGAGCTGTACTGCTCGGGTTGTAAAATTTAAGCTTGGATGGCTTCCGGCTCTCCTGTTAAATGGGGTTGAGCTGTACTGGTTGGGTTGTCACGCGAAAGTCTGGATGGTGTCTGGCTCCTGAAAACCAATGTAAAAATACCCTGGCCCATAAGGGTATATTATATAATTATTATAACTATATCTTATTATTACCCTGTAACAAAAAATTCCTGTCCATAAATAAACTTCAGTCTATTGATTTTATACTTTACAGAAACAGATCAATCTATAGTGCTTTGTTTCATAAGATATCAATTATTACATTATGTTGTTAATTTTTAGTCGAGGTAACAGTCCAATGAATTTCAAAGGTATCAGGCGTGAGGAAGGTATCCACTGAACACAATGGAAGATGGTCACTCAGTATCGTTGAATGATTGAATTTAAACTTGAAAACCATTGGATACAGGTTCGGTTGTCTAGACACTAGATATACGTGTACGAGACCAAAGATCTTGGGCTCGACCCCCAGCTGAGAAGTAGTGGGTGCTGACTACTGAAGAGTTACATACCAGGAATAAAATGCCATTCAGTACTCCCAGGTTCCCAGTGGTTGTCTAATTTTGATTAGTTCATGGTTGCAATAGAACTCAACAATTTCCAAAACTCCATAGTCTTATATACATTTTAGACAAAATATATCTATACATAAGCATTAAGAGATTATTACATGTTATCTTTTTTCCTATAAGTTAAACAAGGCATTGTTTTTTTAAATTTAGGAACAGGAAAAACTCTTCTCGCTAAAGCTGTTGCTACTGAATGCAAAACAACATTTTTTAATATTTCTGCATCGACTATTGTTAGTAAATGGAGAGGTGATTCAGAGAAATTAGTTCGTGTAAGTTTCTTCATTGATTTTATTCGTGTTAGAGTAGTTACATTAAACCTCCATGTAACCATAGGTTTAATGACAAATTTATTTCCCATCTCCTAGTAAAATCAGCTGGTTGTGATTTATTTTTCAAATACACAGTTTCATTTCATTGGTTGACTGTAAAATATAAATATTTAATGGTAAGGGGATCCATAGTGACTGTTCATGAATGTTCGTTTTCCTCATAACCAAAAAGTATTGAATAACTCTTTCATCTGGACTTGAAACCAGTACATAGTGTTGACCCTGTCAGAAATTAATCGAGAAACTTTGATTATCGAAGTTCAATAATATCGAAAACAAGACACTAATATCAAGTGAACTTAGCAGATATTAATTTAATCATATTTGTATATAACACTTTTAGTTCTCATTTGCTTAATTCAAGTATGCATTTATGAACCACTTTCAAATTACAGGTACTTTTTGAATTGGCTAGATTTCATGCTCCTTCAACCATATTCTTAGATGAGTTAGACTCTTTAATGTCACAAAGAGGTTCACTATCTGGATATGGTTCTTCCGGTGGAGGAAATTCAAATATATCAGTTGGAAATGAACATGAAGGATCACGTCGAATGAAAACTGAATTGCTAATGCAAATGGATGGTCTAGCAAAATCTGATGATCTTGTCTTTTTGCTGGCTGCTTCCAATTTGCCATGGTATAGTTAAATTAAATGTTATGAATATTTGATTCAAAATATTAATGTACCATTTTTAAAATATTGCGGTTGTTTTTGCACATAAAGTTACTTTGTTTGTTTTATACTACTCATAAGTAGCCTTTCAGAAATCGTGTAATGTTTACGTCTTCCATTATTGGAATAATAAAAGCAGAACAAAATTATTTGGATACATTTGTATTCTGACGGCTGTGTCGCTTAATTCTGAAGCTCCCATTGTCAGTATAGACAATATCATTGATAGAACTTCCGATAATGTGAATATATATCTTCAGCATTACATAAATTGATGGTGAATTCGTTTTACAGTCTATTGAATTTCATTTGTGATATCTTAATATTCACACAAATTCTGAATTAAAACTGATTGAAGAAAACATTTCATAGTTAGTGCTAGTTGTGGACTAATTTTAGTAAGACACCTGATAGAAACCAACCAGGACTTGATGGTATTGTTTCCATGCATAAGGTTTTACCGAAGTTCAAATCCACGACCTCGTTATAAAAATGAATATGAGTGCCTTATGTTTTGACCATCCACTTGAAGTACAGTGGTTGAAATCCCCTACTTTAACCAGTTACTGAGATGCGCTTTACTACGACAAAACATCTGTTTAATACCCATTGGTTTTAAATAGCACTCCAAATGACAACAGTCTATGGATAATACAACATATAAATCAAGCTAGTATCCCTCAGAAAAAAAATAATGTTTCATTGACTGTCTGAACTAATATTATTCTTCATTATACGTCACCTCTGCTATTACTTCTACATATACAGGGAACTAGATCATGCAATGCTTCGTCGATTAGAAAAACGGATTCTAGTTGACTTACCAAATAAAGAGGCAAGAATACATATGTTTGAATCATTTCTTCCACCAGTTATTGGACAAGGTACATCAGGTGGATTACAATTAAAATGTTATTTAGATTATGATGTAGCTGCGGAAGTAAGTCCGGTTTTTTTTCTTCATGTTTTTTAACAATCGCAACTTCACAAGTTGATTCATCATTATACTTCAAATGGTGTAATTGTTCTCTCATCTATTTTGTAGTTAAATGTTCCTAGAAGTCTCCATACTTTTCATAATTTGATGCAGTGAATATTTTGCGAACAGCTTATAACATCTTTGTAGAATAACAATGGTAACTGGTCATTAGCTAATAGAAAACATAGATTACGGCTTTGTACATAATTAAATTCTGCTTACTTCATGGATCACATGTGTATGTGTACTGAATGTCACTTTGTCGTGATTCTTCAAAGTAATTGTTAGTTTTATAACTATTTGTCAGTTAACCTGAAGGTTTAGCTAATCATGACATTGATGATGGTTGGATGGTGGCAAGGAACAATTGTTATCATTTACAAGAACCGTGATGATCTAGTTATAGTTTATACTATTAATCGACAAGTCGCGAAGTGTAAATTGGATAAAATGGTTCCAATGGCTTTGCGTCTCTGCGTGAACACCAGCTTGGATGCAAGTATATGCAGCTGGCAACTCTCAAGTAGGGCGAAACGTTCATTCATTCCATTCCAGTGCTAGTCAAGGTTCATCAATCCTATAGTAACTAAAGTCAGTTGATGCTATCATCCATCATGTTCTTTTTAAGTAGTTTGTAACTGTAGTAAACTGTTATCAAGATGACGAAGAAAGATTGTCCACTGGACATTGGATTCAAGTTTTCATTCTCATTTATTATTTTGAAAAAAGTCAAAACGAACACTGATGTTAAATTCAAATTGAAGTTTGTGTAATACCAAGTTAATGTAGTTGCCTATAAATCTTGTTGACATTTATGCATTAATTGTTGGGATCATGAGTCAGTTGAAGCAAGACCATCATGGGAAACCTGGAAGTACTGGACGGCCGTTTCGTCTTATTGTAGGACTCCTCAGCATCGCGCATCCACGACCCCGCCTCGCGGGATTCGAATCGAGGACCTACTGGTCTCGCGCATATTAGACAAATTGTCTAACAATTTATCAAAGGTGTAAAAGTCCAGTACTATCAATAAAAGGAATATCTTACTGTAAGTTTGGATAACTTTCATACTTCTCTTAAAACATAATCATTATATCCAAAAGAAACGAGTCGAAATTACCACTCTGATACTTATTATTGATACAGATCAAATTGGTTACTTCCTCAATCCAAAATGGTTCGTTAATTTCTGTAATAAATATGCATAATCTGAACGATCTATTCATTTTTTTGATTAAACTTTCAGTTAAAGCTATTGTTGCCATTGACTCATTACCAGAAACCACTAAAATGCTTTAGTTTCCATGAATTGCATAAAGATTGTATAGTGAATTGGGTTTATCTAGATAAAATACATTTGTCTTTACAAAATTCTTAGCTAAATAATAATTTTTTCAATGGTTGGGATCATGAGTGAATTGAAGCTAGACCAACATGGAACACCTGGAAGCACAGACGGCCGTTTCGTCCTATTGTGGGACTCCTCAGCAGTGCGCATCCACGACCTTGCCTCACGAGATTCCAACCCAAAACCTACTAGGTTTACCATGGTGGTCTAGCTTCAATTGACTCATGATCTCAATCACTGAAATTACTATGATAATTTTTTGTTAACTAGTGAATTCATTTGATAAGAATTCTCTGAGTCTTAATATGAAACAGTATTTAGAGAGGAAAATGTATGGTATATTATGGCTGTTGAGGATGACGCTATATCACTTACTAACTGAATTATTAGACACCAATTCAGTGGGCTAATACTAAGGTAATGTGTGCTGTAGTTAAAATTCTCTAATTCGATTCTTATTGAGATTAAAATACGAATTGCTGAAGAGTTTTACACTAAAGCGAAGTAGTTTTTTCACTGTTTCAGGATTTTGAAATGGTTAACTAGTTGATCAATTCATAATATTAACTACCTTTATTTATATGATTATGTCATACACATTTCAAGATTTCTCAGTTCCTCAACTCTATTTCTATTTCAGTTAACTGAAGGTTACTCTGGCTCAGATATACGTCTAGTGTGTAAAGAAGCAGCTATGCGTGTTGTTAGAAGAATATTTGATATCTTAGAAAATTCTTCTATTGAAAGTAAGAAGTTTGGTACAATTTTGTTTTCTTTTGTTATTGATGAATTACTAATGTAATTTCTTATCTCTTAGATCAATATTATAATCTGTACAATCTACAAGACACTGTAAATAGAGGTTTATCCTATGAAATGTCTCTGGATTTGTAATAGGGGCACACTAGAATGTTGGAGAGATACAGCTGTGATTGTATAAACAATTGCAAAATATGGTTTCGATCATGAATACTTATCATGGAAATATTTCCCCTTTATTATTTTAAGTGTTTACAGATATGCAGCTAAGACCATACACAGTATCTTGAGGTGAAAATTTCAAAGCTGCTCAACTACGTACTATTATCTTGAACAGCTAAATCATGCTATAATCTTACCAGCTCAACTATAATGGTTTTATACTAAATTATTGTTATAACTTGTGGTTTTGAGATTTTATCAGTATATAACGTACTGATACTGCCGATTAGGGCACAGTGATTAATCAACCGAATCAATGATGCATAAAACCCGAACAAGCAGTCTAGAGTTCTTATCGGTCCTGCTTTCCGCCCAGCCCAGCCAGTTAAGTCCAGAACACCAACCTCATCCCCTGCGACACGAGTCATGTATTTCAAACATACTGGGTTTATATACTAATCAAACAGACCAAATCGTACCATAAAATAGGAAACAACATTTGTACAAGATTCAGTCAAATGTGGCTGTGAATGTGGAAGATAGTAATTGGTAGACAGGGCATATTTCAAGAATGGTAAATCGTATAGTAATAGTTCATAGATCAAAATAAAGCTTATGATAAGAGGAACACAAATATGAATAGTTTAGTTACTTTAAAATTATACGGTAAAAATATACGTACAGTGTTAGTTCAGAAATAGATTCCAACAGTTACCACTCATTATTCTCATCGGGATATAATAATTATAAAATTTAATGTTTGGTAGCTAACAAGACTTCTGAAAATTTAATTGTTTGGTTTCACTGTATGCAGCTTTTCACACATGAAACATTTGGAAAAGATAAACTCATTTTTCACAAACTTTTTTGCTTTCACTGAAAATGTTCAGTATATTCAATTATTCTCTCAGTAGAGATAATTAAAAAAGGGCATCTATTTGTTTCCCTAATTACATTTTATTGTTTCTAATAATCAATCAACTACAAGTAAACAAAGTATAAAACTAGTCTACTGGTTTAAATTGTATAACATTGTATATTAAGTTCATATTTCAGTATCAGAAGAAGTTTTGTGGATAATATAATAATTTTAATGGTTGAAATCATGAGTCAATTGAATGTGGATGTATCGCTCAATTTCGTGGATTAGTTGAAGTTAGACATTAACACTATTGGATGCCGGCTCAGTGGTTTAGTGGTTAAGCGTTCGCGCGCAAGACCGATATGTCCTGGGTTCGAATCTTGCGAGGCGGATTCGTGGATGCGAAACTGCCGTCTAGTGCTTCTAGGTTTTCCATGGTGGTCTAGCTTCAATGGACTAATGATGTCAACCATTAAAATTACTACAATATCCACAAAACCCCTTCAACATATGCTTACTAGTAACTGGCTTCAAGAGGTATATCTTGTAGTTCTAGTGAGAAGCAGTGACGTGTAGATATTTCAGTGTGTTTCATTATATTATCATTCATAATTTTCGAATCTACAACTTTCATGTTTGTTTGTTTTTTTCAAATTATTTAAATAGATTTACCTCAAACACAAATTCATTTTGATCCAATTACTACAGATGATGTTAAAGCGGCTATATCATCTACAATGCCATCAGCTAGACAATTAGCAGGAAAATATTTAGAATGGCAACAACAATTTGGTTCTTCTTAATATCACACACACAACTTATATGCTAAAAATCTCAAATCAATCATTGTCTTTACTCTCTTTTATTTTTGTTTCTTTCATTGACCTCATTTCATATTTTTACACATAAATTGACCTTCATTTTAGGTTATTTTAAACAATAAAAACAAATGAAACAATAAAAGCCCGTATATGCATTAGGAACTATTTGAACAGTTCAATATTCAATTGTATTCATGTATAGGATATGAATTATATTTTTAGTTGTTTTAATTTATTATTTCCATATTTTTTAGTGATTGACTGAAAGTCAACGTCAGTAATTGTATATCTTGAAATCATTAGTGATTATACTAGCCGCTTCTTTTATTGTCAAGGTGGAGAATGTCTCTAACATGTATTACCTATTGAGAGCCATTAAAGTTTATGTTTGTTCATAACCTCACAAGTTGATTTCCCATTTTGGTTTCACATCTTAAACATAACATCAAATTTATTTGACTGTTTTGATTTAATGTTAACTATCTATGGATATTTACTATAGAACCTACTGCAGGAGATAACGATTTCGTCGACTGAATTTTCGGGAATCGATCTCCTTCCAGGTGATCGACTCATCGACATAGAATATTCAGATGACACAGTTTTGTTTGGTGAAAACACCAATAAAATGTAGAGTCTTTTGGTAGCGCTGAGCAGCAATGATAGGATGTTTGAAATGCAAATTTTCACATCTGGATTGACCTGTTGCAATAGCTGTACTAAGGAAAGAGAGTGAAGTAGTCGAACACGTCGACAAATTCACTTATGTTGGGAGTCTGATCAGCCCAAAAGTGTTGGTGTCTGACGAAATCTCAGCACGCATTGAGAAAGGTCGTTTGGCTTTTGCCAACCTACGTCACCTATGGTGAAGGCGAGATAACCGTCTATTAATTAGAGGACGAGCATACTGCTTGACAGTTCGTCCTGTTCTACTTTACGGCTGAGAAACGTGGCTATTAAGTGTAGAAGACACTCGTAAGCTACTAGTAATTGATCACAGATGCCTTAGAAATATTGCTCGTATCTTCTGGGTCCAGCGGGCAAGTAATAGTGAGGTTAGACGCATGGTCTTAGAGAATGATGGTAAATCAGTTGATGGGGTTTTGGTCCACTTGTTGTGAGCTACTTAAATCCACGTAAGTAGTATATAAAGATAGTGAAGAAGGGAATTTATTTCTGTGGAAGTTTTACACGGAAAGAACGAGAACGGAAAGCAATTGGTATGAAAATGCAGGGACAATGAAATCTGAGACTGGATTGACATTTACAAAAAAAATAATCACGTTTGAGTCAATGGATTGATATTTTGTAAATTAACTATATACTATATGGTTCTCAGATTTTAGTCAGATATTCTGTAACTTCGTAATCAAATACATTCAATTGCCTCACTTGTCTACTTGTTCATTACATTTTGTGTCGCTGCCAACCGGTAGGACTACTTGGAAACAGTTCAATATTCAATTGCATTCATGTGAAGGATATAAATAATATTTGATTTAATTTATTATTTTCATGTTTATTAGTGATTAGAAAATTTCTTAAACGATAATTAAAGTCATTTTATTATTAGTACATATATGGTTGGAGACTCTGGATGACATGGCTCAGAATCGATCACAATACCGTATGTGCATACACTTTCTGTCTTCCCTCAAACTATGAGAATAAAATCATTTCATATCTTTCTTTCTACGAACTAACTCTTTCTTTCTGTACTATATCCTTACATAAAATCTTTCCTTTATTTATTACAATATTGAGTCAACTGCTTCTATGAATCCAGTGTTCATCTTGCTGTGTTAATGAGATGTGTAAACTTGGAACGATTATTATTATTATTATTATTACTATTATTATTATTGTTATTATAAGCTTTATTCAATATTATATATTTGGTACAATATAGAATTCTCAGCGCAAAGTATTTCAAAAAGTTTCCGTTTCTTTCTTCTTGATCGATCCTGACGATAAATATTGAGTGATCACCAGTTAGATGTTGGTAGTCCAGTAAATGAACATCTGAATAATGTGCATTCTTTTCGTTGTATATTGCCAGCGACTACATTATCTCTTATTAGGCGTTTTGTAACTTTGACAACGAAAGGTTGTACACTTTTCAGAAATGCACCAGGATAGCTTGTGCGATTAATAGACATGATGATATATTAAAACAAACAAAAATAGATAACTTTTTGAAATATCTAGATGGCAGGAACAGGTAGCCCAGATACTCAAGCAGGCCGCATATATGTGCCTGGTCCTACGTTGTAACTGATTGACTGACATGTATTAATTGTATGTGAGCACAATTAAGTGAATGAGCATTCAATTGGAGACAATCAATTTACTATTTAATAGAAAATTACAGAATTATCTTCATAAAACATAAGAACTATACATAAAATATTTCACTTGCATATCTTCCATCAATTATCCTTCATATTCTGTATATACCTTCCAATTCACAACTCTTTTCTATTTTCTTCAACTTGATATTTTTAGTCTTCTGCTACCAAGCATTCCATTACCAATTTATGTTACATGCTACTTATGTCTGTTAATATAAG